AGATCAAAGGCACAATGACAGAATAATCCTGAGGAGAAAATCAGTTTCCCTCGTGCCACACCTGTGAGATCCGCATACAGTATTGTCTTTGAACTCTATCGTTATCTAGCTTTCCTTCAGTCTGTGCTGTTTGTATCTCCAGGTAGGAGAGTCATTTGGTCCTGTGCGGGCTCTGGCTGAAGGTAAACCTGGAGAGCTCTTCGTAGGAACCACCAAGAACGCCATCATCAGAGCCGCCTTCCCTGATACATTAACTCCTATTGTACAGGTACACACACACACAGGCACAGTGATCATTTTGTTTCTAGTGGAAAGCGGTAACAAACATTTAACATGTGCACACGGCAGTCTCAGGTACATTAAATGAGACTTAATTAATGTAATCTGTTACAGGGGCACACAGATGAGCTGTGGGGTCTGGACATCCATCCCTCTATGGAGCAGTTCGTCACCTGCTCCCAGGACAGACAGGTTCACCTCTGGGACACCAACTCCCATCAACCCCTCTGGAGCAAGACCATCGAGGTGACTGGTTTTTATCATAGCAAGCCTTTAACATCCGGATGTTGAGCACCGTCCTGACAGCGCTAGAGTATAACAAAGTGTTTAAGAAGATTTGACAGTTCTATCTTTAATAAAAAGGGTCATAAATAAACGTGTTAATCTTCTCTGCTCTCTCCTGTGCTCCAGGACCCGGGGAGGTGTGCTGGTTTCCATCCCAGCGGAGCTGTTCTGGCTGTGGGGACCATGACTGGAAGGTCGGCCTCATAGTTATAATTAAGAAACAACTATTATAACAACTGATCCATTTTTTAACACCAACCATGTAAAGCTGTACACTGATAAAGAAGGATTAATGACTTTATTTAGACTGAATACATACATACATACATACATACATACAGTCTTTAATATGGAAAAAGAAATAAAGAGGTAATAGTTTTCTCCTTCAGGTAGTATATAAAGAAACTTATAAATTAAACTGGTATGGTATGTATGAAATAGCAAATTAAAAAAATAGTACTATGACAACCAAAATAGCCTTGGTAACTACTCTACTACTCTCAGTATTATATTTCTACACTTTTGCTAATAAATGTAGAGTCAGAAATAATCTACTAACAGAAGCATCAGTGGGGTGATTTACTGATTCTCTGTTTTCATACTGTCTTAACATTGTTGTGTTACATTAGATTAGTGTTAATGAATTTATCAATCAACAGAAAATGAATGGACAACAATGTTTTTATATATCTTTTATTATTATTCATTAAGCAAACATGATCAACATTCGCTGTTTCTATCTTCTCAAATCTGTGAATTTACTGTTTTCTCTGTCTTATATAAATATCTTTGGGTTTTTACTGTTGGTTGGACCTAACTAGCAATTTACAGACATCCTCTTAGGTTCTTGTGAACTTCTGATGTGTGTTTGTTGCAGATGGTTGGTGCTGGACACTGACACCCGGGATCTTGTTTCTATGCATACAGACGGCAATGAGATAATTTCCAACATCAAGTACTCTCCAGGTAAAACATCACCTGTTTACATCACTGACCCAGATCCATAAAAGACACCAGACACAGCTGGTCTAACAGGGCTCAGAAAGTGTATTAACTCTGGGTCTTTGTCCCTTCAGATGGTAACTTCCTGGCTGTTGCTTCCCACGACAACTTTGTTTACATCTATGCTGTGACGGAGAATGGCCGAAAGTACAGCCGTGTGGGGAAATGCACTGTAAGTGTACATTCCTCAAATTATTAGCTTTAAATTAAAAATATATATATTCATTTAAAGCAGTAGGAGCAGTTTTTGGACCACTTGGGACTCTTTATGTACAACTCTATTACATAACTGAAGTTGAAAGTTCAATAACTTTATTGTTAAACTTAATTGAAGTACTAAAATAAAAGTCCTTCCAGAATTAGATGAATAACAAGAAAACATGACTTCTTCTTCCACATTCAGTTTTACTACAAACTAAAACATATTGACTGTGAAATTTCAGTCACATTTCCCATGTGATCTCTATTCAAGCAACATAAACCTTTCCCCAGGGCCACTCTAGCTTTGTCACCCATCTGGACTGGTCCGCAGACAGCCAGTACCTCGTCACCAACTCAGGAGACTACGAGATCCTCTTCTGTAGGTCCTCCCTGTTGTCTCTGTTCACATTTAGTTTTATTGTCAAGATAAGAACATTTTGACTTCACAGAGCATTATGAAACATTTTTTTTTTTTTTTCAGGGGAGGCATCCAGTGGTAAACATGTGACCAACATGGACACTGTGCGCAACCTGGAGTGGGCCACTTACACCTGCACTCTGGGCTTCAACACCTTTGGTAGGTCGATAAAACTCACTTGACGTCTGACATTTAAAACCTATTTAAAGCCTAATCTAAAGCCTGTGAGCCCAGCTGAGATCAACATCATTTCTGTTGCTGGACAAATGTCCAGATTGACCTTTGATCAAACCACTGCACAGCGTTTTGATGCCGCCTGAAACGGAACATGAAGTGAATCTTAATGTTTGCCCGCTTTCTCACCCTTTCACTAACTCTCTCTCTCTCTCAGGAATTTGGCCAGATGGAGCAGACGGCACAGACATCAACGCCGTGTGCAGGTCACATGACGGATCCCTGTTGACTTCTGCTGATGACTTTGGCAAAGTGCACTTGTTCTCCTTCCCCTGCTCTCAACCAAGGGTCAGTCATGTTCACTGACAGTTACATGCTGTTAGCACATCAGCATCAGTGTCTGTGTGTTTATATGCACGCATTGCTTTTTCACTGACATATTTATGGCCTGAGGTGATCCAACAGTTCATCTTTCGCCTGTTTTTAATGTTTTGCTCTGCACAGACGTTGACCTTTTACACTTCCAAAGCCGAGTACCCACACTGTTTATTGTTGTGATTAAGTGTTAATGAACACTGAAACACAAGGAAAGCTCAGCAGAAATAACAAAATGCTCAGCCACAAGGGTTTCATTGTGGGCTCACCACCAGACATATAATGTGCACAATTTCTACCAGGTGTTTATTTTGTGCTCACAAACACATTTAGGCTGTTAGGCCTTTTAACAAGTTCAGGTTTTCAGCCAAAGCCATTTAAACCGAAGCTGTAAACTTAATTGTCCGTTCAGACAAGCTGGCTGCCATTAGCACAGAAACCCAGAAGCTGTAAATAGTTACAACAAGCTGATATTGTTTTAAACTCTCATGAAACGAAACTCATTTTACACACATTGTGACTAAATCCAAAAGCAAGTTACAGTTGTGCTCCAAAAATTGGTTTTCCTAAAATTCAATCAGTCAGACTTCACCATGTAACATCTGACTAATTCATTACTTTATCTCTGCCCTGCTCACATTTACAGGCTCCGAGCCACGAGTACGGTGGCCACAGCAGTCACGTGACCAACGTTGCCTTCCTGCACGATGACAGTCTCCTGATCTCCACCGGTGGGAAAGACACCAGCATCCTGCAGTGGGTGGTCGCCTAAGCAATGCTATCCATCCACATCTCTATTCCCCACAGTCGGGGACCAGCATCCTCTCCAAACCCTTTCACCTTTTTCACTGTTTTATCCGCAGTGTCTCCTCTGTGCCTACTGAAAATAAAAAATAAAACAAACACACACACACACACACACACAACTTGACCGACCCACAGATGTCAAACCAGATGCGATGATGAGTATCATTGTAATAAATGGAATATTATTTAGAGTCCTGCTGTTTGTAATAGAATGTAGAGAAAATGAGAAAAGTGTTGCCATGCAGGAAGTGAATCCTAACTGTTTCCCCCTAAAAAAAATACTGCAACACAACTACTGCTGGTGGTGACCACACAGTAAACCTGGGATTTTAGCATTAGTACTAACTGTGCCTAAACTGTGTTTATCTTAACCCCCTTTAATGGGAATTCCACCTATTTTATAGGACAAGTATGTTTGCAAGTTTTAGCTCCTTAATTACAAATCATGTATACAATACATTTACAGTGCATGCTACACATTTATAATTATGATTGTATATTATATATTATTTTGGGGTTTAATATTAGGGTATTTTTCCTACCGTTCAGCAGCTATTGGTTTCCAGTCTTTTCCACAAAGTATGGAAAAAGCATATTCTTGAGGTGGATATGTTAATACAGCCCAGACTTTTCAAATCAGCCTGCACTAGAACAGCATCAACAGGAATGTGAGATTTAAAATAATGCAGAATCGATGTTCACTGTGATTGATTACTCAATTAAAATATTTTCCTGTAGATTTTCTTATCATACAGAATGCATGGAAACCAGTGGATGCTTAAAAATAAAGAGGGAAAATGCGCTTCTATCTATAAAACAGCAGCTTGGTTTGCAAAAAAATTGTGAGCTTTGATGTAAAGTATACATGATTTGAGATAAAAGGGTTAAAACGTGGAAATCAAACAGCCCTTTTAAGAGTTCATGTAAATTCTGCCCCCCAGGAGCATAGTCGAATCTTGTGAACATGCACCGCTCTTTCCTGACGCCAGAAATCACTGAGATAGACCTAAAAACTTGTGACTAACGTGCAGTGCAGGGATGTAGTAAGACAGAATGTAACCTTGTGAAGGTGTCATACTCTAAAGTTAGTGTTACTGTACATTATCTTCTTGCTTTAACAAAGAGTGGTGTATGTTTGGAAGAACTGACCTGCAAAGGAAGATTGTATTAGAATTCCTAAAATGGGTGGTATTCCCCTTTAAAACAACTATAACCCCATTGCCTTGTTATCTTACACTTTTCCATCCCACAACCTTTTCAAACTCTTAATTAGTAGTAGTAGTACTCTAGTATTACAGATTGCTGTTTGAGATTGTAAACGGTACAAAGCGGCTGTTTTGTCCCAGGCCACTCATTTTGTCCCTTCCCCTCTGGACTACTGTGTTTCTGATTGTACTACTACTGTAACTGTGCTGAGATGGCACTAGATGGCGCTACAATGCAAGAAAATGAGCATGACCGAGGCTACCCGCCTTCTGAAGATGCTGTTAATGTCGCAAAGGTCTATAGAGTAAATATATGTATTATGCATTATATCCGAGTGGCTGTGTTATTTTAATATTTAACTGTAACAATGATGGATGTTATTATTATTCTTGTGGCACTTTTAGCGATTGGCAGAAGGGTAATGTAGGCTGCTGTGCTGTGGAAGTGAGCTTAAGCTGTGCTTTGCCTTCTGTTTTGTTAATAAAGTTTTTACCCAAGTACTACACAGTGGAAGCTCTTTCTTCCTTCGTGTTGGCAGGAAAAAGTGAAAAGAGATTATCTTTGATCTCTGGAGAAGATCCTGGTAAAGTAAGGTTTAAAAGGGGGAATTATCCTGATTTATTTTGTCTTTCTGTCTACAATAAATGCAGTTGCACTCAATTCTTAAAACAGCTAAAAATGAGTTTTATTTATAGAAATATTGTTTTTGAGAATTAGAACAAGGACAGTTTATGATGAATTGAGGACGAAGATGTTGTGGTGACAGTTGATATGTTGACAGTAAATATGTGTGTGATGTTTAGAGAAGAGTCAGTTTGTGGCCAAAGGTTGCTGGTTCAAATACCGAGGTTACTCTGGGTAGTCTTGATGGATGTATCGTAAACATTAGGTTCACTCAGCAACCTGCAGCAGGAGGCTGTGAAGTTCCCAGGTATGACGTCTCCTCTCTGTTTCCATAAATAAGCAACTTAAAGAAAAACCTAAGCCTAATTCTAGTAAAACAGGGAGCCAGAGAGGACATAGGTTGAACTGAGGTTGAAATATAATTCCATACAGAAGTGGTATAGGGTTGAATTTAAACAAGAGTTATTATATTACTACTTACTATATTAGAAAAGAGTTAGAGTTAGCGACACCAAAATCCCTAAGGGCACTGGAAGATATAAAGGCTTGGATAGGAGCAGAGTCTGCAACCTTATCTTCTGCCAAGTTGTAAATATGTATGTAAGACATCCAGTCTACTTGAAGAATGTTTTGCCTTTTGTTGCACTTCATATCTTTTATTGTTCGGCCATTATTGTGCTGTAGTATGTTTTTTGTACATGGCGTTATCATGGTGTCGTGTCAATAAATGTGAAACCTAAAATTATTAATATAAGTTAAATATTTTCTGAGATGACAACATGCACACGGAAACATTTCACTTGCAAAAAGATGCATTTTTTTGTTTTGTTTAAACTTCTTGTGTGCAACCCTAACCCATACCCCCCCATCAAAGTGTATATAGACAAACTTAACTGCCTTTATTATATCGTGTAAAAATGTTGTGTGTAGAGCTTGGTGCTCCTCCACTTTTAATAATTTGTGTGCACGAGTTACTACAATAGATATTTTTTTGCAAGTAAGTAAAGCACTTCCGCTTGCCTTCATATTGTTTTTCCCTGTGTTTTACCGCCACTGTATCTGAAATGGATTTGTGGGCTCTTGTGAGAAAACTGTTTTTCTGATTTTTTTCTGATCTTGACACATTGCAAATAATTATTCTGTAATGAGACTACAGAGAAATCATGTAAATAAAAAAAACATGGTGATAATTATGTGCACATAGGCAGATATTAACAACAATATAAAAATTTTCTCTTGCATCAGCCTACAGACCAGAATGCATTGCAACATGTTACAGTCAGATCTGCAACTTAAATTACCTTCTCTTTATTAGTCTCTACCTCAACACATGTAACTGTAGTTGAATTCAGCAGGTCCAGGCACATCCAGGTCGAGGGTGGTTAAAATGCATTAGGGGAATTAATGAGGTAGGTGAGGTTATGGAAGGTGTAAAAAGGTCAGTGACAATACTTCATCATAACATTGAATGCATTGTACAAAGAGTGATGATATGAACTGTTCGGGGTGTATTTCGGGGAGAAGGGGGGATAGAAATTGTTTTTTTCACTCTTTTTTTTATACACACACAGGCTGAAATGCACACTTCATGCCATGTGGAATGCAGGGAGCTGTGGCAGTGTGGGGCCTGCGGTTACAGCGCCTCATGGCAGGTTTTCGGGTAGGTGGCCTGCTCAGGGTCGCGTGCAACGCAGGTGGCAACTGGCCTTCAGCTACAGTCCACACTCCATAATTTTGCTGTATGGTGGGACTTGGAACTGGCGACCCTCCGGTTTCCAAGCAAGTCCTACAGACTGAGCTACTGCGGCCCCGGGAGACCCTGATAGCTCCTCACGATTAAACTGAAATGGACAGAACCGAACTGAAAAATGTTATCCATTAAAATTTACTTCTAGATCCATACGGGATGTGCCATTGTGATCTGGAGCAAATCTGTAGGATGCAATGGCACCAAGTCAATGCAAGACACCAAGTGGGCACAATCAGATGAATAGCGATCTACTCTTCGCAGCTGGGTTGAGCGTAAAGACTTCCACAACGAAATGTTTCAGGCTTGGAGCAAAATGCACAGAATCTTGTTCATTTGGCAGTATGAATCAAAAATTCTAAGTAACAAGTTAATAAAACCAAACAAATTAACTCCAATAACCATCAACAAGTTTAATTTCAATTATTGGTTCATTTTTATACACTTCAACTATTATTAATTTCCAGACTCATGGTCCATAAATAACACATACCAATGCAAACAAACGGGGCACATACACAAACAAACAACAGGACAATTAAAAAAGGCAATGATACCAGTGTTTTCCACAGCTACTAAAAGACCAGGGGTCTGACAGCGCAAATGATAAGGTTAATGAACATTCACTGCAAATAAATTTGTGCATTTAGGTTCTCAACAGTGCATGATGTGTTGAC